CCCGGCCCCCCCCCCCCCCCCATTCCTCTGAGGCGCCGTGGCGGGACCTCCGGCCGGCCGGGGCCGAGAGCAAGGCGGCGCATCGCCCCACCCACCCCCCGGCGTTTTGCCAACCGCACGTTTGCACCACCTTGCCTTTTAAGGGTGTGAATTTTGAGGGTGGAACTGGGGAAAATACTGCTTCTGCCGTTTTCCCTCCGTACAACATGGCCGGTTTTATTTTTTTGACCTTTCGGCCGGCAAGCATCCGAGTGGTACGGTGAACGTGTGTCATCGCTATCAGCTGCACTGACGTGTCCTCCCTGGCGCAGTCGGCAGCGCGTTAGGCTGTTAACCTACAGGTCGTTGGTTCGAATCCAACGGGAGGAGTTTTTCCCTCATTCGAAAAGAGGGAAATAAAAGGCGGTAATGTGCTCGGGTCCAGTTTTTTCTTTTGTTTCCTTACTTTTTGAAGGTGAGGCCCAAAAAGGAGTTGGGTTGGGGGAAAAAACTGGACGAGTAGGGGATCGAACCCTAGGCCTCCTGTATGCAAAACAGGCGCTCTACCACTGAGCTACACGCCCGACGCATCCCAGTAGGGGGGACATACAAGAGCTTGATTTAAGTTTTCACAGGTTGACAAGCCTAACACAGGTTCAAGATCCTATATTGTACCCCTATTCCGGCGTGGGCACGATGCGCCCCAGTGGCCTAATGGATAAGGCTTTGGACTTCTAATCCAAAGATTGCGGGTTCGAGTCCCGTCTGGGGTAAAAAGTTTTTCTCCTTAAGCTTTTTTCTCACAAATGAACTGCGTTTCCTTGGTCATCAACCCATGATGGTGTGGCCTTCCTAGCTCAGCGGTAGAGCGCACGGCTTTTAACCGTGTGGTCGTGGGTTCGATCCCCACGGATGGCGCTTTTTCCCTTGCACGCCGTCCCTCTCTTTCGCGAACTAATATAATGTAAAATAATAACAACAACGACGGTGCGAATTGCGGAGGGAGGGACCGAGAGGAACCATGCGAGTCGCCGGAACACGAAGCGGAAGCCGCTTCGGTATACATGTGTATTGTTTATACCCGTGTGAATATAGGTGACGGGAATGGTGGCAGCCTGAAAATACGGAACCCCGGCGAGGAGGAAAGCGCGGGCGCGTGCGTGAGGGGAATAATGGCCGGCGCGGGGCGCGCCGCTGCGGACATGGGCCCGCTAGCGCTCGCACCGTGAAGAGAGCAACATGTCTGCACCTACTGTGCTGTCCGGCTGCGCGGGCGCCTAGTTGAAGACTTGGGGCGTTCAGCAGAAAGTGCAGCGACAACGCTTGGCGAGCAAGCTGGCGAGGTGGCCTTATGAGGCGAAAGCCCCCCAAAAACACAGCACCGCCCCACGAAAACAAAAAAAACAAACCCCAGGACGGATGCAACAAAACTCGGGGTGCCCCCTTTTATTATTATCGATTTTTTAGTTTCTCATGTTATGAATTCGCATTTCGCGGCTTCATCGTTTCCAGGCGCCTTTTTGGCAGCGGCGGTGGGTGAGTAGGGCGCCCGTTCCGCGTGGCGAGGCGAAATGTATGCCCCCACACGCCTCCCCCCCCCCATTCATAGCCCAGTTCCATATATTTCTCACATCCCGACTCCCATGGGGCGACGGACGTGTCTAACGATGGTGTTTGTTGCACGGGCCATTGAATTCATTTTTACGGCGACGCGGGAGGGGGAGAAAAAAAAAACACAATGACAACGGCATTGCAATAGCGTGTTCTCTTTTTTAAACACGCTCACTCATCTCCCACGCGTGCCCCTTAAAGTAAAAAAAAAAAAAAACCGTTCCCCTACAAAAGTCATTCACCCAGGTCCAAGCAAAACACACTCGCCAAATGCCTTGCTACGCCATCCTCGGAGTTCGCGCCGATTCTCTCCAGGTGTGGAGGCGCCATCTTTAACAAATCCTGCTGCGCATTTTTCATCAGGCAGCCCTTCTCCACCATACAGAGCATTTCAAGATCATTCATGCCGTCACCAAAGGCGATGCAGTCCTTGATTGTCAATGTTGCATCCCCATTGGTATTTTTTGGAGCGTTGCCCAGCAACATACCCACAACTTCTCGTAGCGTAACACCTTTGTTTACCCCCTTTCGCATAACCTCCAAGCAGTTTGTCAGGGAGAAAGTAGTGGACACCTTGTCTCCGTAAGCGGCATTTATTTTGACCGACAACATCTCCAGACATTCCCGACGATCAGAGGTGTAATACACCTTATAAACGCTGTCGTAGTCCTGTGTGGTGGGATCAAAGATTTGGTAGTAAAAGACGTCACGGTTAGACTGGTAGTACTCAGTAAGATCCTTGGCGTGTTTGTTCATAAGCCACGAGTCAGAGCGGTAAACGCTCGTCACAACATCTGCATCATTAGCAGCTGCTAGAGCCAGTTCTCTTGCAATCGCAGGTTCAATGTCTTTTTCCAAAATAACACGACCCTGCGGGTCATGCACGCGCGCACCGTTTGAGGTAATCACATACCCCTTGAGTCTCAGTTTCCTCCTTGTTTCCAGGACGTCGCTGTGGTGACGTCCCGTCGCGAATATGACAGGTACACCCCTCTCGCCCAAGGCCTCGATGACACGAAGGGTATACTCCGAGACAAGGTGATCCGGGTTAAGTAATGTGCCGTCAAGGTCAGTAGCGACGACTTTATACGGCAATACGGAAGAGGGCATGAATAGCGCACTCCCCAGTGTTGATCTGAGCCGTTTATTATTTTTTAAGTGTGCACTATACAGGTTGGAAAAAAAATACGCATGGACAGGTGAGCACCAGCGTGTACCCAGCGCGGCATACCCAAAAACAACAACAACAGTGCAAAAAAAAAACACACACAAAAACAGAATATAATAAAACATTCAACAAGAAACACAAAGCAAATCCTCACCACCACCACCACCACAACTCATCTTTGCCTCCATTTCTCGTTCATCTTCACAAGAAGAAGCATAAGACGAAAAAAGAGAGGGACGAATCCTCCTCTCCCTTACCCAGACTCTGCTGCAAATGTAAGAGCAAACTGTGAATCAACAGATGGAACTAAAAAAGAAGGCGGAAACAAAAAAAATACATCCAGCATACACGGAGCATATTTTGGAGTCTTCCCACCTCCACATGTGCCTCTCCTTGTCAGAGGAGAAAATTGGATCCCCGTGATTCGGGTATATACATGAAATTTAGCCATTTTCTCAAAGGCATCACAGAACCCTCCTCCTCCTCTACCCTCCAAGGTTTTAGCAGAGCCACAACTCCCCCTCTTGATAAGCTTCCCCCAAAGAAGAGTCACCGCCCGTTCAATCGCATCGGCAATGCGAACCATAAGCGGCACTCTCATGTGTCTCTGACGCTTGGTTGAAGCGAGTCACAAAAAGTGTCGCGTGCATAGTGTAGGCGATCCACCACATGCTGCATTTTCTGACCGACAAAAAAAAGGCAGTCATGCTTAAATGCTTCTTTCAGTAGCCTAACCGGCATATCAGAATTCGTTAAACTCGACAGAGTTATTGTATTAAACGTCGGTGACGTACTAAACACGACACGTACAGAGGAGGGCTTTTGCTTACTAAACGAACACTATCTCGCAGCTTTAGAACCAGTGCGACATTCAATGAATTTGGAGACTTGAGAGAGAGGCTCTCCGCCAAAGCTGAGGCGCAGTCAGACTTTTTCGCTTCTGGAGGCATCGAATATAATGCATGATGAAGAGGAAAATACGACTACTGACTGACGTCGGCCATTGCTTTGGACCCATGTTGCACTCCAGCGTTTCACTCACCAGCAGGCATTCCTTCGCCGTGGCAACCAAGCGACCATTAATACTACTATTGGCTTTTAACGGCATCGCCAGTCTGAGGGCCACATAGGGCCTCAGGAAGCTTAGTCGCCTCCCAAAAATAGATAGTTTCCAAGTTATATTTACCGCAAATGGTTGCGGAGGTTACACTCCCCGTAAGAGTGCTGGAAACCGCATTAGCACCCAGGAAACAGAAGCTGCAAAAAAAAAAGTTCGCCACAAACATTGCCAAGTCATCATGACAAAAAAATAGAAACTGTGTCCCACTACCCATTCATCCTGACGACAACCACCGAGGTTTCTGCCCAGACGTTTTCACTTCCATCCGTATCGCATTTAAGAAGAATGAAGAAGCACTCATATACTTTTTTTGGATACAGTTCCAGTTGCGACGTAACCGATGGCGCAGCTCCGCCAGTCTGGAAGCGACAGATGCAGGAATACGACGTCCTCCTGGTGCATCAGATGTAGAAGCGAATACTGAGGGGGATGCTGCGGCCAAAAATAAGACTCGCTTCATGTTAAGGGTTTGTTTGAGTGGAATTGACTCATCCGCCATGTATTTTTTTTCGGCGCTGTAATTGATATGTAATTTTCAACACCAATGGCAGGCTGATGCCTGTATCACGAAGCAGCACAAACTGAATATTGCGGTTTTCTACCACCATGTTCAAAATCCATCGTCCCACGCTGTCATTCAGATGATTTCCAGAAAGATCTATCCATATCAAGGAGGGATGCGTCTGCAGAACTGCAATAAGTGGCCACGCCGCTTCCTCTGTCAAACCAATGGATGGCATCACCAAGTGTGTAATAAAGGCACAAACGCCAATAACAGGGACAAGCGCGGCACAGCCGCCACTTCCAATGTAGGCAAGCGAGAAATCAAGCACATTCACCCTCTTGACCCAATCCTCACCAACACTGGGGGGCAGTTGCCGCAACACATCGGCGTTGGGTCGCACGTGGTGCTGCTCACAACTATATATATATATATATCCCGTAGGCTACGCTGCCGTACATTGATGGGTTCGTTTGGCGCCCCACACAACTGCTCCACGGGAAGTGTGGAAACTGGCCGAATGCAATCATGCAACATGTCGGAGCAAGCCTCCACTACGGGATCCGAGGGCTCCTGGAGTTCAAGCATGGCTCTTCTACAAAAGAAATAAGTTTTTTTTTTTTTTGCTTCCTTCTCTACTCTTGCCTCTCCCGTTGACTTTTAATTGTTGTTGTTGTTGTTGTTGCAAATTGCTCCCCGGCCGCCGGCGGCTGTCCGCGTGCTAAGAAAAAAAGAAAAAGTATGCGTGTGTGTGGAGAAAAAAAGGCATAAACATATAATTACGTATCTGTGCGCGTAAGTGCAAAGTAGAACCTCTCTATTCCTTTCAATACTGCATCGTGTACTAATTTTGTTGCCTTCTTACTGCTTTGCGCATGTGAACACACCGACTCATCGACACAGACACCTTTTTCACACTCTCATATTGCAACCTTGGAAAACATATTATAGTGGTTCAGCTGCGCATACCACCATTCTTGCCAGGACTCAATCACCCCCTCTTCAACACCAAGCAGGCTCATTACAGAGCCCACGTTTTCGCCAAGGTACTCACGTCGCATCCACGCCGGTATCACCAACGGGTGCTGCGCGGAATCTCGCGGCACTCCTTGGGATGCAACGTACGCTGGATGCGCAAATCGATCCACCCAACAGACGTCTTGCATGCCATACGTCGGAGTCGCCGCATTTTGGTTAAGCAAAAGAAACTTCATGAGAACTGAGTTCTCGGACACGGCACTGTTATCTGCATCCTTTGCCGGCTGATGCTCCGAGGCGAGAGCCCAGAAGACATTCCCCAAACACATGGATAGAAGGACATAGAAAGCAAACCACACATTTCTACGAAATCCCGCTGCACATGACCAGGCGTCGTAAATATTGACGTCATCCACGATGCCGTAAAGGTGCCAAATGCAGAGGAGGACAGCAATGTAAAACGGAAGAGACTGTGAGACCATCAATCCAGAGACGAGTATTCCAAGACCTACATGAAACACCATAAACACGAGAATATGCTTGCGATCCCCAATAAGGATGGCAGAGCTCTTCACCCCACACTTCTTATCGTCCTTGATGTCCTGATAGGCGTAGATTGTGTCATACAAAATGGTCCACACAACAGAGGCACAATAAATAGGCAATGTGACAGCAAGATCCACACGATTTAACACCGCAGCGTATCCAACAAATATACCCCAATTGAAGCATAGCCCAAGAAATAGCTGCGGCATGTATGTGATGCGCTTCATAAATGGATAAATGATCACCAACGGGGTAATAGATAAGGCAGTCAAAAGAGCTGTCGGAGACAAATTCATGGCAATCGTAAGAGCCAATCCAAGAGTTGTGACGAGAACACCAGAAGCCTCTGTCATGCTCAGCTCTCCAGAGGCCAAGGGACGTGTTTTGGTGCGCTCCACCATGCGGTCAAATTTCCTGTCCCACATATCGTTGACAATACAACCGGCACTTCGCATCAAAAATGCTCCTACAGCGAAAAACACGGCGAGATGTACTGGGAAAAAAGGAGCGCAGAGAACCACTGGGTCGGCCCCCTCCCACACAATCGCCCGTGTGACGGCAAGACTGGAACCCCAATAGCACGGTAGTAGCAAAAGCAATGTACCAGTGGGTTTATCAGCACGTATCAGTTGGCACCACAATTTCACCTTACGCGTGGCCCATTCAATATGCTTCGGTACCTTGCAACGACTTCCACTGGACGTGTCATAAAGGCTCCATTGACGCCTTTCCTTTGCGGAGCATGCTACATTGCGCTGTGCGGCGGGATCGACCCTCACGGCATCAGGGAAATGGGTCGAGGCCGAGGCAATGGAACCAGATGTCCATGAACGTGTTATCTTGCGAAACAAAAACGCCTGCCGCAGCATCCTTCAATGTTTTCTTTACTTTTCAAATTTTTTTTTTTTTTATTGTCAGTTCCTTCAAACCCACACACAAAACAACAACGACAACAACAACAACAACAACACAAACCAAGAGTTAACGGATCCTCTCCGCACTCCCAAGCTTTTTAGTTGCCCTATTCTCACCTCCTACGTTCCTTTTCATCACTTCTCTACACCAACCCATGTATTTAGCTTCAATATAATGAAATGCCCTGAAACACACATAGAGAGGGAGCGAAGCGAGACATAAACATGCAACTTATTTCCTTCACCTCTCCTTCTCCCGAATTCCATCCTCACCTGTATGTAAAAGGCAGTCTCCTTGGTAAGAGACCACCATCTTGAAGATTATCATGCCCATCATTTCAGTTACTGTATATTTTATTTTTTTAAGAATTCCATAAACGCCATTTTGTTTTCCTGTGGTGTTGTCGTCGGGCGACCCAGATCCGGCCGATTGCCTTTTCTCACAAGAATTTCCAAGAATGCTGGGCCAGGGGTTTGCTTCAGCTCGTACAGTGCTTTAACCAACTCACCCAAGTCCATCACCGGATCATCTCGAATAACTGTAAACCCACATGCTTTCGCTACATGTGTGAGAGAGACATCAAAGGCGGCGGTAGGTTGCCCTCCCACTGAATCATGGGCACCATTGTTAAATACTACATGCTTGTAGTTATACAAAACGTGCGGGGAATCCTTTCCGTTTAAGGAGCGAACAGCAGCGGCTGCACCAAGGACAGCAAGCGATCCCATATGCATTATGGTGGCCCCATCACCATCAAGGCAAAACACCTGTTTCCCTGGCTTTGCTAGCGAAATACCTGCCGCTATTGAAGAACAATGTCCCATGCAACCGACAGTCAAAAAATCCTTAGCGTGGCCCATTCCACTACGCTCACGGATCTCAAAGACCTCACGTGAGGGCATTCCCGTTGTGCTCACCACAACATCGTCCACGTCAAGTTGCCGCAGCACCTGCTCAATTGCTTCCTCACGGGACATTGAAAGCCCTTTCAAATCATTACCTTGGCTTAAAAGTTGGTATTTGCTGAACAACCCTGGGCGCACCAAAATAGCATAAGGCGAACCTGCAGAACGCATGTGGCTCAAGGCAGCATCTAGACCTGATTGCATTGATGCCTCCACATCATCGCAGTCCGCTGCCAAAACAAAGTAAGGTACCTCCAAGACACGCAGAAGGTCTTCACTCAAACGTCCTTGTGCCACATGTTGCGGCTCGTCCTTGACACCCGGGGCACCGCGCCAGCCCACCACCATCAAAAGTGGAATACGGTAAACCTCAGTGTGTGTAAGGCTAAGAAGCGGGTTTACGACGTTACCCAGCCCACTGTTCTGCATATACACCAGAGGAAATTCCCCTGTTGCCAAATGATGGCCGGCAGCCATTGCCAGTGCATTGCCCTCGTTTGCTGTTATGACATGTTCACGCGGTTGGGTGTGGTCCGTGACAAAGGCGCAAAAATCCTTTAAAAGAGAATCTGGAACACCAAAAAAACGTGTGACACCCCGCTGTCGGAGAGCCCTGTAGAAAACTTCAGGCGCCAACTTACCCATTGAAGTGACACAAGTGGTACTAAGACAAAATTCAGAAAAAATAATAACAGCGGCAGCCACAATAGAAAGAGATAGATAGATAAGGCATGCGCCTGCTTGGGGACCCCGTAACATACTCCCACAAGAAGGGACAACGTGCAGCAATGAAAGACCACGGATTGTTTTACTACACCCATTATTCACAAATTCTAATTAAAGCAGTTTAAGACACGCGTACAGGAATAAACAAATTAAATTCAAACGGGATATGTTGCGATGATTACCGGAATCTAATTGCGTGCTGACAATTCAGCTAGCTTTGGGATCCACAACGAGAGCCCGGTAACCATCGTGGAGGGCATTTATAGTGGCAAATCGTTGGAGTGGGATGACAAAAAAAAATGATCACACACTCTCACTGCCTGCTAACGCGGCATCCATGGAAAAAGAAAAAGAAAATGATATCAAGACATCAACAGAGACAACAAAGGAGCTCAAAAATAAATATTTTCATCTACTCAACCCCATCTGGTCGTAC